GGAAAATGTAGTCAATAGTTAGTTCTATCTCTAAACATGCCAAAAACCTCAATGATGACATCGTCAATGGGACTTTAACAAGTGAAATATTGGGGGGGGGGGGTAGCTAATATTTGTTTTGTGAAAGAAATAAAAACATTAACATAATTAAATCTTAAATATTCAAAAGATCACATTTCAATCTACACTATGTAAAAAATCAAAATCGTTGGTGACATTGATAACATCAGAATATGCCGATGAACTTCATTCTCCAAACCGAGATTGGTCCTATCCCCAATTTTTCATTCTTCAGAGATGTAACATCCAGTTTTTTTTACTTGCAAGAATATGTTAAAAATGTGACAACTATAATGTACATAAATTATTGTTGAAATAATATACCTTTTTCTGCATAATGCATACATCGGCATGGTTATGTGAGTTAGAATAGAATAAAAAATATGTTTACATGCTACTGAATCAACCCAAAATTCCATTTATTTTACCTCTCCAGGGCTCTCACCAGTAAATATTTAGGGTGTGGTGCAAACATCTTTAGCATAACCGTTCAATCGTGATAAATCATATTTATGTTATGTTTTATCCTTTTTACATGCTATTATTGTATATTCAGACAAGTTTAGACTGTGGAAACAGTCATGATTTGCCAATAGGGTGTGGAGGGAGCTAAATAGAGTGTGGTGCTGCGCCACAGCCTAAAAGCCTGGCGAGAGCCCTGCTCTCAAGAGCAACAGTTTTGAGTCATTGGAAAAAGTCCTGTTCACTGAATGAGTTTGAAGAAAATATCATTGAGGTTAATGCAAGTTAAAATACACATGAAAAATATATTGACGTCAGTTATTGAAAGAAGTGGTAAACTATTTTGGCTTGGATAAAGTTTATGACAAATTCACTTCTTGATAAAATACTTATAGAAACACCTTCACCAAGAGGCCGGAAATAATGCTAAAATTGACATTATTACAGTTAATCTTATCTTAAATTCTTTTATTGACTTCTGAATTAATTAATAAGACCCAATATCACATTCAAGGACTGAAACGAGGGACATTTCAGTCATTACAACAAAAATTGTTCCCCAATAATACTCATAACATTAAATATAGTAATGTAGATAAAGTTGTAATAACATCTCTCTCATTTCTTATTTTTCAATATAATCTAATGAAATTTTCACAGAATGTGAAGCATATAATGTCTCATTAAGCTAGCAAAAAATGTTTAGTATCACACATATACAGTATTAGACAATTACAATTACCATAGTTACCAGAAATCAAGGCGGCAACTGGGGCAAATAAAAATTTTGAGAATGAGACTAGTTAACCATGTTAAACATACATAATAAACTCTCATAAATAATGTAATACATTATAATGTTAACTTAAATATTGTTCAGGGCTTTTACTTTTAAAGAAATTGATCATGTGAATTGTGTGATGTCATATGGGAAGTTTACATGACTTATTTGATGACAGACTCTGAGACTCAAAACTTATGATCAGGAATGACTGGGTAAGAGATGCAATAGGTGCAGAAATCATAGAAAAATAGAATTAATACTGATAAAAAGTTATATTCAACTTGTAAAATCCTTTGCTCAAACCAAAGATGGTTCAAACAAATATACTGCAAAGATATGAACAAAAGTAGACCCTGTGTGAGATCGGAACGTATTAGAAATGAACTAGAGGGGCAAATTCAAATTTCCTCGGGATATTTAACAAAACAGTTGCAGGGTCTAACATCACTTCTAACGATGCATTTCAATCATTCATTATGCAGTTATGTGATCACATAGTTCACATGACCATTATATTTTGTTGTTCTAAATATTTTTTGCTGAATTAATATGATGTTCTATGCTGCACATTCTGTGAAAATTTCATTAGTAATATCGATAAATAAAGAAATTAGAGAGATATTATGAGACCTTTATGATCAGCCCTCGTATAACAAAAAATAATGCATTTCATGTACTATGATTATAAGTTACTTTTAATTAAAAGTATTGTTTTTTAAGAGATATTTTGTTATCTATAGAGAATGGGATTCCTATTGAAGTTCAGATATTATTCAAATTAATGCTTTTACCAGTTCACAGTTAATGATGAACATGTACTGTGTTGTTAATCCTGATCTATAGAGTAAACATCTTCACATGTGTTCAATTCAACAATTAACATTGATAAACATCATAAATACCTAAAGTAAACTTCTTAATTTTCTTTAAAATATACGATGCAATCTAGAGCCAGTGTCTTTTTTTAAGTAGTTGCTTTATCCATGAAAATATTTAAATGAATATGTTTTTAATTAATATAAAAGTCCATAACCACAGGCTGGTATCAAAAATATTTGTCCGCTTTGACGGAGCATGTTATTTTCATAAAAACACTAAGAATACTTCATAATTTATTTTTTAACTCATATGTTTCGTTTTACCAAAGAAAATTACTTACTCCATGCAATGGATATATCATTTGCGGGGAACTTTCACTTCTGTTTGAAGTCCCATAATGCTAGGAGGTAAAGCTATTGAAAATGGCGCCAGAGTATCACACCCCAAAATGTACCATTTCTTTTTTTAGCTTTTTAATGGTACGATACAGTGACATGATAATATTTACATATGTTTTCAGCATAACTCTGAAAGTATCAATGAGATTTTGATGTATTTGGTCTTTTTAATTATTTTTCATAAAAAAAATGTTTAATTTTTTTGTCCGCTGTGATGAAGCAGTTGCAAATGTGAAAAGTGAAACTGCTCCGTCACAGCAGACAAAAAAATTAAACATTATTTTTTATGAAATAAATGACCTAATACATCCAGATCTTCATAAATACATTCAGAGTTATGCTGAAATCATATGTAAATATTATCATGTCACTATATCATGCCATTAAAAAGTTAAAAAAAAGAAATGGTACATTTTAGCGTATGATACTTTGGCGGTTACTCGCAAATGATATATCCATTGCATGGAGTAGGTAATTTTCTTTGATATAACGAAACATATGAGTTAAAAAATAAATTGTGAAGTATTCTTAGTGTTTTTATGAACAATAGCATGATCCGCCACAGCGCACAAATCTTACGATAACAGCCTGTGATAACAAATCACCAAAAAATATTCAATATACAGAATACAATTGACGTCAAATGGCAAAATTGTATGCAGAGACTAATTATTCATACTAAATCACTACAAAATAGTATACCCTCTGTAAAGAAAAAAGGTGCATTGGTCTGGTATTTTGTTACTGTTAGTATTGGTCCAAATATGAAAATTTATGAGCATATGCATTGGACATTTCTGAATTGATTTATTTAAAGATATCAGTTCTACCATTAGATTGGTTCATAATATGGTTACCATAGCAACCAATAGTACTACAGGGTGTTATACCCTCAATATTCTATTCATATTTATTTGCTGATACATTGTATATCATACAATAAAACAAAATGCCAGACCTATTCATGATATTTACTGAACACCCTGTATAATAAAATGCATAATTAATATCCTTATGTCACACACACCAGATCCACCACATATATATCCTATTTCTACATACTACAAATTCCTAGCTTCAAGTTGGTACCATCTATGTAACTTTTGGAATGAATTTATATCAAACAATATCTTAAACTAGATATAAAATAACAGTCTGTTTAATTAAAAGTCAACTCCCATTAATTCAATGCTGTGGTATCAATTTTTAGGCACAGTAGCTATATTTAACAAGATACATTACGTGAACGAGATCACACCACCAAATAGCCAGACAATGTATGAACCAGGAAAGCTTTTCTCCTATTATTTTTAAAAACTTTGAAGAAAAAATGTTGACTGTGGTCATATTAATCAATAGCTCACATATTGAACTAAAATCTAAGGCAATATAACAGAGTGGAGATAATTGTAGAGATCTTTTGCAGTTCTGTTACAAACAGGTGTGTGGATTTGGAGAAAACTGAACAAGGGGTTTTCCTGAAATGACAATGACAAGATTTAACAAAAAACCTTCAAATTGCCCGCCAGAAAACAATTCAGCCACCTAAAAGATAATCAGCTGAATCCCGAAATTGGGATGACAAAAAAGTGGGACAATCACCGTAATGAAAACATAGTCATCACGACGACCATATACTACCGATGGTGTGAAAACAGATAATGAACAGACAAAGACAAGCACAAGAAACAATTATTTTAATCTTATTACATTTTGGGCTCATATCTTTAGTCTTTACCAATTGATTGGATATCATAGATCTTATGGGATTTTGTATTTGAGATCACCAGTACCACATTAACATGTTATTTGTACATGTTGCTTGCAATTTTGTCAATCCTTTAGATCAGATTCTGCCTTGAAGGAAACTATACTCATATGATATGTTGGTAATCAATGTTTAAATGCATATTATCTAGTATCTTAATGTATGAAAATATGATTTAAAATGATACCATGGGTGATCTAAATGGGCTATTTTTATTTGTTAACATTTCAGAGAAGGTAACAATGAAATAAGTATTAAAATTACCATCAACTTTTGAAGGGAAGAGGATTTATTGAAAATTTTCATATTTTTACATGAGGTGGGGTATGTGCGACTTGGGGCAAAACATAATATTTAAACAAGTATTGAAAATAAATATTGAAATTAAGTACTCTAGATACTTGACATAAATGTGTTTATCCTTTTCTTATGTAGGAATTTATCACATCTACCTATTACAAGAAAATATTATTGATGAACAAATATTTTTTATGATGGTGGACGCATGGGGTAGATGTGACCTAGAGAAAAAGGACAAAATATCAATTTATTCATATCTGAGTAAAAAGATTTCAACATGTTTCACAGTGTATATTTAATAAGCCAAAATAAAGCTTTTCACCAACTTTTGAGAGATTTGATCAAGAGAACATTGACTTAAAAAATGTTTTCTTTTTTTGTCACTTGTTCAAAATTATACTGTAGTATTCTATGTACTATTGACTAATATTTTTGAAAAATCTGTTTTACCCTAAAATCTTCATGGCAAATTTTGAGAACTTCATTGCTATTTTAAAATAACCCAAAAAATCATGTTTTGAGGTATAGATTACATTGAAAACTGACTGCTAGAAAGTCGTTTTGTGTCAAGTCGCTCCTACCCCACTGCCAAAGTTAATGTGACCTCAATTTTTTTTAATTAGCTACTAAATTAATGAACTCTGTATTGAATAGAACCCTTATTGATAATTATAACATGTTATGAATTTATAACAAATATAAGCTACAAATTTTGAAATTATATTAAAATTCATCTCAGGTCACATTTTGACCGGGGTCGGAGGCGGATGTAGGGACGGACGAACGGACGGACGAACGGACGGACGGACGGCTTTTCTATATCCCCCTCGAACTTCGTTCGGTGGGATAATTACAATACAAACCTATTCCATGACATATGCTAATACCCCTAATTTGGAAAAATGGGCAAGTCCAAAAACAACAGGATAAGCTGAATCCCTCTAGGTCAACTGACCTAACACCCCTTTATATGCTATATCTTCATAATTGTACGCAGTAAAACTTAAAAATACTGCGGGGAGGCCGGGTGGGCCTATGGTCATGGAATAGGTTTGTATTGTAATTAATAGAAAATTTACTTGTAAAATTTCTCAATTACATACAATCCAACCTATTCCATGACATATGCTGAATTCAAAGTAAAGGAGGTGGGACCCCGATTAAGCCAAAAGTATAATAAATATATATACACAAGTACTTATAATAAAAAGTAAATTCATATTACCAAAAAGTACTCTGATCTCACAAACCATAGTGATCCCTATTAGAACAGCCACCGTCATCCATTGTAAAGCAGAGGCTGTGACACATCTGTATAACTGTTATTGTCCTATCATAGTGAGCAGTCTTAGCCATCTAAGGGTAATAACCAACTCCTATGAATAGAGACTGGTTAACCAAGGATGGGCCGTTTAACCAAACGAGGCAACCTTGCAGTTCTTCAAGGGTCCAGGTCACAAGCTAGTTGAGTTGAACCCTTCTGCAAAACAGTTCAGCTACACATCTGGGAGACTGTATGTCCTTTCACAGTGAGTATCCTCACCCATCTAAGGGTTGCGAATAACTCCTATGAATAGAACTGGTTAGCCAAGGATGGGCCGTTTAACCAAACGAGGCAACCTTGTAGTTCTTCAAAGGTCCAGGTCACAAGCTGGTTGAGTTGAACCCTTCTGCAAAACAGTTCCACTTACACAAGAACTGGATAGACAAGGAATGGCTGTGTACAAGATAAAGACAAACCAAGTCCACCCAGTGTTACTTCCAATCACCAGACAACAGTGCAATACTGAGTTGGTAACAAGTTGCAGAGTACTTAAAGTTGTATATAGTTCTTGAAGCTGTAGACCCACCTGCAGCTTGGATGAGATATACATGAGTTAATCCAAGCCATTGTTGTAGTTCTTGTCAGTGTAGACAAAGGCATCATCCTTTCATCCATTGGAATTCTAGGAAACTGCCAAATAAATCAACTACCATGAGTCACAGCACAGGGTCCTAAAGGAACCAGTCTTGCATACAAAGTGAGGTGGTACACACTACATCTTGTCTTGTATCTGCTCTCAGAGTTGGATGTTAGTTGAATAAACATCAAGTCTGGACCAGCGATGATCATAAAGCCGTTTCAGCCAACTTGTAGAATGGTTAAACGACATAGAACAATACCACTACACATCTGCTAAGTGCTTCTTCTTTTGGATCCATAACAAAGTTACATGGAGCAAGACACCTCCGTAGACCCAGCCAGTCGAGGTTGGTACAGTCACCAGATAACTACAAGGATAAGTCAAACCATCTTCTTTGTAGTACCAATTAGTATTCATCATAGAACAGATCAACCATTACTGCTGACCTGGGCAAGAAGAGACATCTTCCATCTGGCCAAAACAAGTTGTTCAATGGACAAACTAGTGCATCTAGACAGTCTATCCATCTGTATAAAACTGTAACACAGCTACCCTAGTAGACACAGTGGCACATCAAGCACAAAGTAGAACAGCATACAGGTCCATACTTATCTATAAAGGATTAGTATGGAGATGAATCTAAAGGTGGTTGGAAACAAGCTTGCATTTGTTGGTAAACTTGTTAGACATCTTTAAGAAGGTGAGGATATCACTGATATGATTGTCTTTAGTGGCCATAGCATAACAGAAAGTATTCTACTGCCATCAAAGCACTGCTAAGTGTTGTTCCCACGAAGAGCTTGGCTTGGAATGCAACCTTCAATTGTTGTATTCGGCATTGTAGTTGAAAACTATTGGATTGTGGTTAGAACATCCATCTGTCCAGGTTGTAAACAGCAAACATCATAGCTAGTGCTGCATATTGACAGAATACTGCAGAAGAATTCAGAACCTCACTGGATCAACAAAATTCTTGGCCTGGAACCAAAAACTTTAAATGTTCTTCACAGGCTTGCAAAAGGCAGACTAGTGGTATCTTCAATGGATAGTACATCTATCTGTCTATAAGAGTACATGTATAACAGCATTGAACGTAGATACTGCTACAAAAGGAAGCACTACTAGTATAGTATGAGAGTATAGTAGTGCTAGATCCACCAAAATCTGTGTCCAAAAACGTAACCTTTAAATTCATCCAGGTTTGTAGTTGGCATCACTGGTTGACAAGAATAGTCAGCTTTTCTCCCGGGTCTGTCTAAAGCTACCAAGAGCATACATCATGGATGTAGGTGTATAGGAACACTACTGCAGTATGTAGTAAGGTAGTGCTGGATCCACAAAGTTCTTGACTTGGAGCATAACCTTTGTAGATCAAACTTGGCTTGGAGTTGAAACTCTAGTATCAACAGCATAAACATCAGGCCCGCATGGTCATCGAAGTACTACTGCATGTGTCTACCAGTCAAATGTTGGATCCATACAACGCTTGGTCCAAGAACATTACTTTTCAGTAGTCTTAAGCCAAACTTGCAGTTGCTCAAGGGAAAAAACTATATCATAAAAAACATGATAAGTTTATCCAATTGGTTAAAACTTCCAGCCTTTTACTAGTTAAATAGTAGTATTAGTACTATGAACATGAACTAGTAATAATATAAAACCAAATGAAGTCTGGACTGAAGTGAAACCTTAAAGCAATCCAGGCCCAAAAAGCCCAAGATTAATTCCACAAATAAGGTGACTTGTAGTTTCTCAATGGAAAAAACAATATCATAAAACATGATTAGTTTATCCAATTGGTTAAATCTACCAGCCTGTTCTAGTTAAGTAGTAGTATACGTACTATGAACATGAACTAGTAATAAAATAAGACCAAAAGGAGTCTGGAACTGGAGTGATACCTGAAGGCAATCCAGGCCCAAAGACCACAAAGATGAATTCCACAATAAAAGTGACTCGCAATTTCTAAGGGGAAAAAACTATATCCAAAAAAACATGGTCAGTTTATCCAAGTGGTTAAAACTACCAGCCTTTTACTAGTTAAATAGTAGTATTAGTACTATGAACATGAACTAGTAAAAAATGAAGACCAAATGAAGTCTGGAACTGGAGTGAAACCGTAAAGCAATCCAGGCCTGAAAACCACAAAGGCAACTTTCACAATCAAAGGGATGTGTTTTCAATATTAGATGAAAACCACCTTGTTTGAAAATAATAACCAATCCTCGAATGAATAAGTTCTATGGTTATGAATAAGAACAAAAATGAAAGAAAACAGGCTCCAGATAATAAAAATGAGAGCCCATCACTTAGAAGCATGTTTAAACACAAGATTCATGGTATAAAGAACCTGAACCGATGTGTAGAATCCTCTCTTCTACTGTTGATTGAATAATATAAAAATATATTTCAATCAATAAACTCATGATCTTATCAATTTAAGACAAGATTCAAACATGTGTGAAGGTACACCGCTTATAAAGAAACATATAGTTACTTAGAAAATATGCATGAAACCAATCAATACCAGAAAAGGAGTGATTGATAAGTAGCTGTTCAAGAGTATGAAGCATATTTTAAGGTGAGCCACTCCTTAAAAAACTGTGGTTAGGGTAAAACTAACCAAAAGATTCTAAGACACAGAGTGGACCTGAGATATGTAGATAAACAATAATGTAGATCTCCATAAAGAGACACAAAAGTACAAACAAACAAAAAAAACTTAGTAAAAATTATCCTTGTAAAATTAAAAAAATGAAACAAGATTTGAAAACCAAGATATCCAAAATGATTGTAGAACAAACATCCTATGCCCTGGTATAAATAAAGAATGAATACGTTGTGACCAGAAGGCATTAATGAGCCATTCAATGTATCTTAAAGTAAGGCTTCTGTAAACTAACTAATTTTACACGAATGTAAAATTAGACCTAAAAATAGTTGATGAATAAGAAATACAAAAGTAAAAGCTGAGTGTATCTGTAAGCATAAAACAAACAGAACATAGAAAACAAGTGATGTGAAGAGTAGCAAAAAAGGGTGTAAAGTGATTGTGAATAAAGATGAGAATTAACTACATCTATGAACAATGCAGATTCAATCCAACTGAAAAATATGTTATCTAGTCAAGCTAGTTACTAAACTAGAAACAAAGTTGAGAATAATTCCCGAGTAATAAAAAGTAAGACAAAGAAACAAGAAAGATCAGCAAAAAGATCTTTCAATACACGTAAAGTGTAATAATAATTTACACTCATCAATAAGTAGAGTTCTTAGAAAAACTCCACCTACTCATAATCCCTGAACACAACATTTCAAAAAAAGAAAACACTGTTCAGTGGATAAGCACAGCTTGAATGTAATGATTACTGAGTGAAAAACTAAGGAATAGTCATTCAAAACAATGAACTCCAACAAAGCTACTGTAGGTGCATGAATAAGGGGAATAACCTTATGAACCTAGAAGGCCATCATTACATAATATACTACACAATAGTATAGTCATGAACTCAAAGGATTAGAACCCTAGGGCTAGTAAAAGTATACTAGTATAGGGTTAAAGAGAAAAGGTCCCTTATAGAAAGGTTCAAAGTATGAGTGAAAAACCTTTACAAAAAAGAATATACAAGCCAGTAGGGGTCAAATAAAGTTCAACTGGGTCTGAACTTATTGTCCCAAAGACAAGCTAGGCTAACCTAAAGTTGACTGTTAGCTAAGCGTGTAGCTTGAAAATAAAATCCATGGAAGGATTTCCTAAAAACTGACCTGTTTCTAGTGTTAGAAGTACACTAAAATACAACCACAAATGAGCTCACTGCACTGAAGAATGACTTGTGACTCTGTCCAAGTACCTTCTGCTGCTGAGGAGACCCTGCTGAGGTATAGTCTTGAAGATCTACCATGGGATGGTGGGCACCAACTCCCTCAGTAAACTGCTACTCAAGTTGTGCATGCTTCTAATAAGCACCTTGCTGTCATCTGTGCCAGTTCAGATTGTAGATTTTCCGACTTCTGTAGACTATCACGTTGACTAGGTTCCCGTAACAAGCTGGTAACCCCTAGTCCTGCATATATCTGCCATCAATTTACCAATTATCTAAGAAACTTCTAGCAGATAGAGTAAAAAGCTGGACTCTAAAATTTTTCCACTTTTCCATACATAGGCAAGTACAATTATGAAGATATAGCATATAAAGGGGTGTTAGGTCAGTTGACCTAGAGGGATTCAGGTTATCCTGTTGTTTTTGGACTTGCCCATTTTTCCAAATTAGGGGTATTAGCATATGTCATGGAATAGGTTGGATTGTATGTAACTGCCCCTAACTTTTTACCATTTGTCAGTTGAACCATGATACTTGGCAAATCAATGCAACTTTACAATGATATATGGCAAATACTATGGAGACAATGGTATATGTTTGCCTAGGGGGGCCCAGGTCCGTAGACAGAATTTTCCAAGGGGGGTTCACTTTTCAAAAAAATTCTAGGGGGGGTTCACTTTGGTAAATTTGGCCAAAAATCACAAAAAAAAAGTCAGAATGGTGAAAAACTGCATGATTTTGAAAGAAATTTTGGCCAGGAGGGAGTACGCCCGAACCCCCCTGGCTACGGGTCCCGGGGCTCCACACTTTCGGAACACCCTGTATGTGGCTTATGTGCATAAATTATTCACTAAATATTATGACTTCCTTAAATTAGTTTTTATTGTTTCTATCCCACAGGCATTATTGGCTTGACTGTATATTAGAGTTTGAACAGATAAAAGCAGACATTTTAAATGCAAACAATGGACAATACAGAATACTATTCTGATTATGAAGCAAATGATACTAGAAGAGGGGATATTGAACAAAACATTGCTATCATCTATATAGCACTTTCAGTCTGCATAATCATCTTTGGAGTTATAGGAAATATTCTATCATTGATTGTGCTTAAGAAGGAAAATGAACAGAGTAGCCGTGTATTCCTGCTAAAAACATTAGCAATCACGGACAGTTTATTCCTCATTTCCTATATTGGACTTATACCAGAAGATGGATATGTGGCTGAGCTATGGGATTTGGAAGACAGTTACGATAATGTAAAGTGGATATTAATGTACTTTAATCATACAGCATCAACACTAACAACATGGGTGATTGTCCTTGTCACAATTGACAGATATATACACATTGCAAAACCACTTCGCGCCTCATTAATTGCGACAGTGAAACGAATGCGTGTAGTCATGGGTGCACTGACTGTCACAGCCGCCATTTACAACTTGCCATTGATTGTTTGGCATTATTACCCCACGGAAGAGAATGGTCCAGATTATTATTTCATCATATATGAGTGCGTCTTGAATTTCATATTTAGATTTGTGGGGCCAGTTATAACAGTAACAGTTCTCAACATTAAACTTATTCGTTCGGTGAGACAATCAAGGATTAAAACAGAACACCAAACACAAGAAAAGAAAGAGGAAAGAAAACAAACATTAACAATGATATCAATATTGTCAGTCTTTATAATATGTTCTCTCATCAATGTTGGTGGTAGAATGCTTGTTCTGAATGACAAACTGTCAGAATTAGAATTTGTTTTTTACAACACTGCAAACTTGTTTCTCCTTTGTAACTCAGCATGCAATGTTATATTTTATTTCCTTTTTGGAAAATCATTCAGGGAAAAACTGAAAAAGATTATATGTTGTGACAAACTAAATTAAAAAGTGGCCCAATGAGCAATATCTAAGAAGCATCATTGACCGCAACTACGGTATATCTCCAGTGTAAATAAGAACAACAAAAGGTAATAATGCAATCCTTTTAAGGGATCCATATTAATGTAGCTACAGCCAAAAGCCATTAGCAATCTCTGACTGAAATAACTATGATATATGGTGATCAAAATGCCTCACTTTGTTACTAGAGTGCTGCTAACTCGATAAAAGGCTGGCGCTGGCTAGAATTGTCTATGGTTCTAGCCAGGATAAAGATACCAGTTCTTCAACTCGACAATGGGAAGAACTGCTCTACCTAAGTGACTAATATGTCATGATATGACATCTAAAGGGTCGATAAAAGATATATATATATACATTGATTCATTTGCTTATGTATTATATATACTTTAATAAATATATTTGTTAGATATTTACCTAGTTTATCATTTGGATCATAGAGAAGTTCTCGAATATTATTGTTCAAAACCCTGGCCGTTGCTAGCCTCGTATCGACTGTTTGTTCTACACAGCTTTTGTTGGATAACATTAACAGCCATTCTTTCAAGACTGGACTTGTCTGGAAAAATACCACATATCTATCATTAAATAATATTACTGAGGCATTTACAAATGAGTTTGAGTTTTGAAATGGTAGATTTTCAAATATCATACACTGTTCTTTACTCAAATAAACCTTGTGTGGTAAGATCAAAGCAGGAGTTAATTGTATTCATGAGATTATTATCTGAGGGAGTAGCATGTTGGAGAGGCAGCATTAAGGGAGTAGCATGTGGGTGAGGCAGCATTAACTCTTAGCAGTCTAAACTAAATCCCAGTATTTGCTGCCCTGGTTTGAGCAAAATGAACAATTTGACCATAGTAACCATTAAATTTTTAATTTTAGGCTACAAAACAATATATTTTTGATATGGTCATCAAGTGTTGGGTATGTATTATCAACACAACGCATATTTTTTGGTTCTAAATAAACTTTAGCATAACCCTAAGTACCTAAAGTGCGTGTTATCTCGTCGGCAGACCCCAGGGAAAGTCTGATTTTGCAAGATTACTCGTCGGCAGGCTGCTAAGAGTTAAGGGAGGGGCATTTGGGAGAGGCAGCATTAAGGGAGGGGCATGTGGGAGAGGCAGCATTAAGGGAGGGGCATGTGGGAGAGGCAGCCTTAAGGGAGGGGCATGTGGGAGAGGCAGTCTTAAGGGAGGGGCATGTGGGAGCTTAAGGGATGAGCATGTGGGAGAGGCAGCCTTAAGGGAGGGGCATGTGGGAGAGGCAGCCTTAAGGGAGGGGCATGTGGGAGCTTAAGGGATGAGCATGTGGGAGAGGCAGCATTAAGGGAGGGGCATGTGGGAGAGGCAGCCTTAAGGGAGGGGCATGTGGGTGAGGCAGCCTTAAGGGAGGGGCATGTGGGAGAGGCAGCCTTAAGGGAGGGGCATAGAGGAGAGGCAGCATCAAGGGAGGGGCATGTGGGAGAGGCAGCCTTAAGGGAGGGGCATAGAGGAGAGGCAGCATTAAGGGAGGGGGGTGTGGGAGCTTAAGGGAGGGGCATGTGGGAGAGGCAGTCTTAAGGGAGGGGCATGTGGGAGCTTAAGGGATGAGCATGTGGGAGAGGCAGCATTAAGGGAGGGGCATGTGGGAGAGGCAGCCTTAAGGGAGGGGCATGTGGGTGAGGCAGCCTTAAGGGAGGGGCATGTGGGAGAGGCAGCCTTAAGGGAGGGGCATAGAGGAGAGGCAGCATCAAGGGAGGGGCATGTGGGAGAGGCAGCCTTAAGGGAGGGGCATGTGGGTGAGGCAGCCTTAAGGGAGGGGCATGTGGGAGAGGCAGCCTTAAGGGAGGGGCATAGAGGAGAGGCAGCATCAAGGGAGGGGCATGTGGGAGAGGCAGCCTTAAGGGAGGGGCATAGAGGAGAGGCAGCATTAAGGGAGGGGGGTGTGGGAGCTTAAGGGAGGGGCATGTGGGATTAGGGAGGTTGAGCAATTGCCTACCTGATCCGTTTCTATTTCATTGTAGACCTGGCTAATAAATCTTCCCGACAACATGTGAGCAGCACAGCGTACATCGTCACTATGAAAACAAAAAATGCACCAATCAGCTTAAAATATATACATAGCTTGAAATAATACAAAGGATTATGTTATATTTTTAAGTGACTCACTTCCAAACGCGATTCAAAAAGAGCTTAACAGGCCAAGCTTGTTACTTACATAGAATGGTCATTGGCCATACATATCAGGTACTCTAACACCTACAAACAATAATAAACAAGAATGAAGTTAAAATGGAAATAATTCTTTGAAAATACATAACACAGAACTATTTCCCAATAATGAAATGCAAAATATTCAGAATATTTACATGCTAGTCTGCTTGAATCCTGTACATGATCATATAAAGTAATACATGTATAGACAAATAGTACTATATTCGTTTACCTGCTGTGGTCCTAATAGTGAACCACACTTCTGCCATTTTGTTCTTTCAATATCAGCACAAAGAGCAAGAATGTTCAGGACCTGAAACATCACAAATAATAGAGAAGAATGAGACAATGATATATGCCAATATATCTTTATAAAAATTATATTTTGAAGGAGGAGGCAAGAATTCTGCATTTTGCAACCAAGTCTCTTTAATTGTGGAAAGATTCTAACAATCAATCAATCAATCTTACAAACTCAGCCAACATATGTTTTGATATACATGTACATGTAATTATCATTTCCTATTTATTTAAAGGTGGAACATTTACCAATATACAGTAACTTTCCACTCAAATAATTTTTAATTTGTTTGAATGACTGAACACTGACCTTTATCAGGCACTTGTGGTACTGTTCCCGGCCCAGAATCATAGCAGCAAGTTCTTCTTTGATATCATCAGGTATGTCCTTAATGGACCCCTCTGCTAGTATAACCTCCATGTATTCCAGGACTCTGTCCCTCACCTCGTACAGTGGAAACTTGAGGAGGTCACTTAGAATAGAGCCATTTGCCATGTTTGACTCTTCAACAGCAACAACAACCTCATCATTTACAGCAGTGGGTGTCAAAGGCTTGGTGATATCAAGTGTGATTTCTGTGAGGACTTCATAGAACTCTACTGAACCAGGATTATGTAAAACATCAGCATCTGGGTGCTTCTCCTGTAGATCCTCATGTATTACCAACATCAATTCCTTCTTTATGTACACACACAAGGTATTGATGTCAACATCCTCAGATTTCCCATCTTCTAATATAATAGACTGGTCTGCATCTGCTTTACTATGGCCAGGTTCACATAAAGCTGATTTATGTGTTGCCTTAGTTGCATCATGATTGTTGGATGTCATTTTGAACAATATGCTGATGATACTCAGGAAAGCAGTCCGTGTCAATGGACATGGGTTTGCTCTGAAATTAGGATGGTTTTTGTTGCCTTATTATATGCTTTGAAAGCTGATTAAAATTGTCTTATACTTTGTGATTATTAAAAATAGCCGACTTATAATTCAGACTGTATCCTTAAAAATCTGATGGACGGTTAAAATCCCCCTTAAACACACCACCCTTACCTCGATACTATCCACATCACTGAGGCAACTGAAGTGGTAACCATTGTGATAATATCAGCGGCCAAGAATGGGGGAACATCTTCCACATTTTGCAGCACAGCATTCAGCTATAAAGAATCAACCTTGATTAATATCAGTGCTTAACTAAAGTTCTGCGCTTTCAGAAAAAATGGAAAATAAATTGTGATTTTGAATTGTACACTCTACAATAATGTGTAAATATTTACATGAAATTTTGAAGAATAATACCAACTTTATTATCTATTGGTAATTGTTATCAAGAGAATTCTCACAAGTCAGTGGCAAAACATAGCTCCATAAAATGGCAATCGCCAATTTTTTTCTGTTGTCAGTCAGGGGGGGGGGCGATCACGGCATAAACAATCCCAAAATATTTTTTTAAGATTTGTTTTTGAATTTTACAAAAATTGCACTCCCTGGCTAGGCCTATGTAGTTTTGGCATCTTTGAAATGTATTCAGTTGCATTTTGGTAAAACATACTGTATGATGTAAAAACAGACAAAAAATGTGGCCAACATTCTGCCTACCTGTATTAGAATTCCATGTAACTGGTTCTGGCCAGACAGATCCTGTTTGGTGACTGGAATAGACCCAAGCAATCTAGCCAGAACTGGTTTGATCTGGTCCTTGGATAGTAAAGGCTGAAGAGCTCTTGCTGCCATCATCCTGGTCTTATATACTGGGCTAGAGGCACATCTGGGAAGAGAATCAAAGTCTAAATTCATACGGTTGTCGCCTTACAGGATTATCTTCTAGAAGATGATTAACTGCTTTTCAAAAGCATTATGTACAGTATTTCATAATACTGGATGGCATTCCTTTTTGGCATTGCTCATTTAGAATTGTTTACTTACTTTCTTAATTGTCAATTCTTACTTGGCATTATATTTGGTAATATTTATTAAACATGTGCCTATTTTGTTATTTGACATTGCTTACTTGATGACGAAGGGTACAAAGTGTCCAAGATTAAGGCTGTTATCAATGCCCTCCTGGGGAGAAGGCAGCAATCGGCCAAGTGTCATCAAGACTGGATAAAGACTGGGGTGCAACCTGTACTCCCCACCGCATCTGCAATACAGTTAATTGAAACAAATCGATACACTGTACTAATACTGTACTAAACTGTTGTGTCAGAACTGATCAGTGTCAAAAAGTATTTTCTAAAAATACATCATACTTTTCCAAGAAATTATATGAATTAATGTTCAGTTGTAAATGTGATATCTTTAGCATTGAAGAGCATCATAATAGACGTCCATAGAAGTGCAAAAGAGAGAATGAATTTACAAACTTTTATTTTCACACACAGATATGTTTGACTCAAAAGGTTTTGTGATGTGAGATACACATAATTTGAAAAAAATTACCCGATATCTTTTGTTGCTTTGTCGATCTGGTCCAGCAGAAATGGGAAAAGTGACGGGAAGCGATAGAAGAATGCCCTTCCAGTCATACTGTGAAATAAATCAATTTACATATTATGAACATTGATACAGTATACTTATATGGACAAGAGCATATTTACATATACAATAAAACATATTTAAGATGAAGGGCCTTGGTACCTCAAAATTTAGTGTTCCACCCAGAGAGGTTAATTTAATATTAAGTTAATAGAGGTTTCCATTAACAAAGGTACAGACTTTCACTTATTTTAATTATTAAGTTTCTCATTCATTTGTTAGAATGAATGATCAATGATAAAATATGTAAGTTAATTCTTATAAGATATAAAACATCAATTCAGATATATAAACATATAATATAAAATAATATTAACTTCAATTACTCAGATGCGAGTAAGAAGTTACCAGTTTCGCCACCAGGTGGCTGATTCGGGGGAATTAACATGGCAGGGTATTACAAAATTCCCTTAAACTTATATATGCATCAGTTTTAGTGGTTCACTTTTCATATTACCTTTATGTATCTGATAGTTATACAAATTAAAATATGTCCAGTAAAAGAAAATATTATCTGCCCAACACAAGAAAATATATTTCACTTTTTGTGGTTTTACAACATGGGGTCTATGGGGAATCTCCCCGACCTAGAAGTCACATTTTCAAAGAAAATTAAATTTTCAAAGTTGATAAACTCTTTTGAAAACCACATTTCTAAATGTAATTTTACATGTTGATTCCAAATATGACATCAGTTTGAATGAAATGTGAATTTTTAATGACATAAATCAAGATTATTTCTACTCGCATCTGGGATATTGAGGATATAAATTGATTGATCTTTAGAAGCAAATCTAGTAGAGAAAATTTAAAACTGAGACTATGTTTGTCTACCAATTTTTCTTTGACTGGGCATCTTTGCTTCTTGGTACACCAAATATCCGCACCATCATTGCACTGAACAGAAGAGTCGATGAGTTACGAATCTGAAACAGAATTTCGTTAAACAAGATCACAAAAACGTAATAATAGAAAAACTTGTCTTATCTGTAAAACCACAGGGACTGGCCAAAACTGGGATAGGCAAATGTTCACATTTCAAGGTTTTCAAACATTGGCAGATTAAATGTTCAAATTGACAGGTGTTCAAATTGACAGGTGTTCAGACAAGAGAGATGTTCGGATAAACAAGTTTTACTGGACTAATGTTTTATGGGAAGGGGGCAAAGTAGCGGTGCACTCGCCCAGAAAGCAAGGGGCCTTGGGTTTGATCTCCACGTTACTCTTTCACATCAGCCCTTAGTGCAGGATTTCTTTCTGGATTTCATAATCATTCGATAGGGGGCAAAATCCATTAACTAAGGACCTAAATCAATGTCAAAGAGGAAAAAATTGAATACAATACAAAATAGAATAATGTAGTTAACTTACAGACCAGGAGTCAGACTGGAAGCCTAGAATAGCCACCTTCATCCCATCTGCGATATAAGGACACACATCCTCCCCTAGTCTGGTGTCTCTATACATTGCTCTTAGAATGTTCAATGCATGGAGCTACAATATAATACAGTCTTATTGTAAAATGCATGGAGCAACAAAAGCCACCTTCATCCCATCTGCTATATATGGACACACATCCTCAAAATTTCTACCAATTTTAAAAGCATTTAGGTGACCATTTAAGAGTTTTAAAGGCACAAATAATGAAGACAATTTGAATTTTTCTGAGGCAGAAATCAGGAAAACATGCAAAATTCCACAAAAGGCGGTGGCCATTTTGAATTTTTCGAGGTCCAAATTACAAAACCAGTTCAATATTTGCAATCTACTCTAAATTGCCTTTCATTTGAGTATAATAAAGCAATACTTCAGAAAGATCTCAAAATTAACGCAATTTCCTGTTGGCAGCCATTTTGAATTTTCTGAGGCACAAATCAGAAAGACAACACCATAGTAATGATCTACCCTAAATTTCCTTCAATTTGAGTATAATATAGCCATACTTTAAAGGGATCAGAAAATTATTGCGAAATCTCACATAAGGTGGCCATTTTGAATTTTCGATGCCCAAATTACAAAACCGATACAATATTTGCTATTTTCTTAAAAGATTTTCACGGAAAAATACCGCCATTTTTTAAGTGGCAGGCATCTTGGAAATTTATTTGTAGTAGCTTTTTTTACCGGTAACACTACCCTTCCCCTTTGTTTTTATCGATGTTTGTTTTTGTTGCTGTTTTTCTTCTATAGTTTAACCTCATTCTGATATCTAAATAACATTCATTCTTGTTTTTTCATATTTCCTTATTCATCTTAGAACTCTGACCATATCTTTAATATTAAATTTTTTGGCTTTTTGTATTTTATCTGTATCCATTTGTGTTTTGCAATTGTCTTTTTGATATATGCTGACAGTTTCTTTCTTATATCCTTGAGATATCAATTTATTCCCCAAGGGCTTGATTCTTTTGGAAGCAGTTTTTTCATCACTGCAAACTCTTGATATTCTTATTATCAGTGACATGTAGACTTCATATAATATGATTGTTTTCTTGGAATGTTTCCTGAAAGGTCTGGATAGGAAACTATCTTGAAATTAAAATCATCTCTCTTATCATATATTTGTGTAGTAATTTTCTTGTGTTCTATTGTAAGTTTCACTTCAAGAAATATTGCTTTGTTGTTGTTCATATTTTGTTCAGTTTGAGTTTAGGAGGGTATATATTTTCCCTGTCATTTTCCGGATTGACGTCATTTGTTGTTGCTGCATCTGTCTTCATTCATAGTCTTCTTTCTTCTTTGTCTTGATTTGATTGTTGTCTTGCCACGTGCGTCAACCGCACCAGCTTGTTGCTAGTTCGCCACAGGAGTTTGGTTGAGATATCTTTCAAAATAATTATGTGAATGGAAGTGCATATGTGAATATAATGTTCATTTATGGCGTGTTTAACCAATATCATGGCTTCTTATTTCACATCAAGATAGAGAAAGGTGTACGGAATATGCTTACAGCAATCAAAACAGCAGGTGACGTAATTAATTATCTCTAAAGCTCTGGGGCTTCCCACTCTTGCATATACGTTTTCACTTTTTCAGCCATTTAACGAAATTCAAAACCGATATTATTTTTTCTGGCGATGACGACAAAAAGTAGAAGTTCCGTCGTACTGAATATGACTATCAAAAGATGTTATATTTGGTTAAATATGCCGTCTAAACTCAGGTACTAGATTTGAGTTGGAAAATTACTGAAAAATTTATTCAGAAAGATGGCACCATAATCAACGTTAGAACCGAAGATGGCAGAAGATGCTTCAATATGTTGTGACTCATGCAGGGAAACCCGAACCAGCTTTATACAACCTACCACCGAGCAAAAACCCGAAGATGTCTGAAAATGTAAGGGGTACGTTTATAAACTCCTGTTTATATCTTGAATTTCTCAATATGAGAAATAGATAAAACACAGAATTGTGTCTAACCGATATACATGTAGTTATTGTTAATCCACAGACATGAGACTGCACGTAGGTGGGTTGAAAGTTTTGATCTGGCCAGAAAACTCTCCCCTTCCTCTTACTGGTGTTCTTATTCTTACGGATGGAGGGCTTCACTATATTCCTACCGAACTTCATTCGTTGGGATAATAATACAGTCAAACAGCCTTGGAAATGTTAAATGATCAACGTAAGTTGAATACGAGATGAATGGTTTCAGTAATTTCTTACTAATTTATCACAAGGAGGTTCTCAACACTATCCTGGCATTTGTATTGGTTGAAAACCAGTTTTATTCTTTCTGGGAAAGTATATCTTTTTGGTGCAGATCAATGAATCAAGATTAACATAATTGAAACTAAACAAACAGTGATAAATGTAACACTTTTTATCGAAAAATTCTAAATGACCACCAAGTATTTACCCAGCATGCCCCAAACTTAATCAGATCTTGGCAATAGTCTAAACAGGTAAGTGATTTTCCTGGAATACTGATAGCAAGATTTATGTGGTACCCACTCAACTCAAAATACAACAAATGATTTCAGTATAAGAGGGTCCTATGAACCATACCTTTGGTTCAGATGAAATGGATACATTCTCGTCTTCTTGAGCCAGGGCCAGCAATTGTGACATCATCATCTTCAAACTTTGACGTCCAGTTGAAGCTGGCTCTGTGGTCACCAATGCCTGGAATTATGCAGAACATATTGCAGTTTAAAAACATTAATTTCAAGATCATGCTGTATTCAGGTGCATTAAACACTAAAGCATGAAATAATGGTATCCATTTATCCCATATTTCGGATTCGGGAAAACACTTTGCATTTAACATGCAAAATGTTACCACCTGCCATTTGTTACAGATGCCAACCACTGTTTGTTACATTTGTTACACACCAAACACCAGATGCCGAACACTGTCACAAAAAATTGGAGACCATAACAATATGTCACCAATTCTGGTAGTGACATAAAAACTAGTATATATATATTATTAAAAAATATTGTCCAAATGAAGAAAAGATGTACTTAGCCTTGTTCACTCAGATTATAAAATATTAAAACCTATTTCAGTGAATATAGTGGCACTTTCATTATTAATATTCCAAAAATAGAAACCCAAAGGGTACAGTAAGTAGAACAACACATTGTTTATATTGCTGTTTTTACTTTAACTTATTACAATGATTTCCTAAATAACCTTTCATTTCCCACAACCTCCTTTAGATTATCAATGCCTGCCTACGTAATAACATGTTTTGCAGCCTTTAGCTAAATTAGCTAATAACAACAAAGAACTGGCACTAATGAGGAGACCCTAAAGTAACTATGTTGTAAATACTTCAAGATTATATTCAAGGTTAGAATATTGTAGGCATATAAGTGCTATAAGCACTGGCAAAGAGAATCACTCTTACCTGAATGTAAAATGGAAGACCTGCGCTCCGCCTGGTTGCACACAATCGGGAGTTCTGATTGGGTGTTTTAATATCTTCAAAAATCTCATCCAGCCATTTTCTGGGAAGCTTGTATAAATCTGAGATTGGTGACCTGGAAGATACAAAATATAATACAATTTCTAGAATATTAATAGTACAATAACCTCATTTCAAAGGGCAACAATGAAATACTGGACCAAGGGCAATAACAAGATTTCACTTGAGCACTATGGTTTCATAATGGCATGGTTCAATGGCTCCACCTATTGCTCAAGTAAATATAGTGAAATATAAGCCTTTTAAACTAGTACTTAAACCCCGAAAACAGGCCTTGGAAGTTGGTGATAATATGAGATCCCATTAACAGTATCTGGGCTGTAAACCTAACCTGTTTTGATACTAAGTGTGATGACTTTATCATCATGTGAGATGAGATAATCATCATTTGTGATGATATCATCACTTTTTGAGTAGAATGATAAATTGTCACATAGTTTATATACTACTTCTGGTGGTGACATAAAAAGTTGCATACTTCCAAAGCCTTTCAGTCATTTGGACAAAGCCTGCATACGCCAACTCAAATGCCCCTCTATGACGAGACTCAAGTAACTGCGTCGTAAAGAACCTCCCGATGTCATGGACCTAAAATGCATCATTGAACAAATTAGAAAAAAGAAATAATGCCAAGCATTATTGTGCTTCGCAATGACACTTGAACTTTTAACCATGTCATTCTTACACAATTTGTTTCATTGTTTTGGAAAGTACAAAAGGTAACATCAGGAAATTCTTATTATTACTTCCTTATTCAAGAAAATCTAATTTATGTCAATGTACCTGTTCTACTGTCAAGAGACTTTGAATATCCTGTTTATCTACTTCACCAATCGGGGCTCTCTGACATAGTTGCCCTAGCAACAGGGAGACTTCCTTAACACTTCTCCAACAACAGACTGTCAGGTATTCTGGCAACAAACTCTCACTTTCCTCACCAACAGCACATGCATCTAGAAATATATAGAATCATTCTTTTTAAAAAATGATACAATCATTTTACATGGACATTTAGTTCATGTTTTCATTTATAATACCACCCATTCTGGTTTACTTTATTGGTACCAACTCCTCAATTTCTGTTTGTCAAAAACTTAAAATAAAAACATTTTCATCTTTAGAAAACATAAATATTTAAATTAACAGGCCTATAGGACAGCTAGTGAAAATCTGATCCAGAGTAAATATATCAGACTCTGATCTATAAAAATCTGACCCTGAAACCATATGAATGAAATAATAGTAACATCTACATTCTACACTTATATCTAAAATGGCAGACCCTATTAACCCTAAACTGCAGAGCATAAATTAAAATCTGTAGTCAATAGACTCCTATTCATTTCCAGTAGAATTTAATATGCTTTTAACATGAGATGTTTCCCCAAAATGTACAATTTTGCCAACAATTGACACATTTTTCTTGGCTCTTTCAAAATGCCAATAGAATCTGATACATGTATATATATATGTGGATTACTACAACATTTTCAGCATTTTTTTTATTTCTGCATACCTTCTATAACTCCCTATATTTTATAATATCTAAAGCACATTTCCATCAAGCCCTTAAAAATAAATTAATCACAAAAGATGAGATCATCAAGATTAAGTTAATCATTTTCATCATTCAGTTAATCATTCATACATCAAAGTTCTCAATGTCATGCAGCATCTGTTTTTTACAATTATGTCTAAAATGTGTATGTTGGCAGATTTAAGTTGTTGAATTTTGAAATTAGATGTCCTTCTGAGCCTTACGTCTCAAGGGCTTTTCTATTGATCGATTCTCATTTTAAATAACAGGAATTGTATTGGCAGAGATTGATTTCAAAACATTTGTATCATTCCAATTCTTCAAGTGTCCGTTTGCTAGAGGTAATGTTGTGCTAAAAAGTAAGCTACAGAAGAAGTTGCTTAGAATGAAAACAAGTCAACACATCCATTTACATGTACAACAATTAGTTACCCCATGAGTCAAATATTGAGTAGGATGTTGCAGAAGACATATAAATTATTATTATATCGGCAAATATCTTTCTATTATGTAGCTGAGGTAAAGTTTCACAGAAATGTTTTTCTTGCTTTGTATCTCCATGGATATTATATTCTTATAGGCATCAGCCTATAAAATCTGAACCAAATCTGTCTACTGTTATTTGAGCTATCACTAGAACAGATATACAAACCAGCGGATGGAGATGAATAGATGGATGAACGGAGGGCTTCTCTAAAAAATGTGTGGGATAGTAAATGAATTGGAAATATAATTTCATTTTGTCCTCGTACTCCAATGTCATATTGCATTAGATTGAAGATGATCTAAGTGATCAGGGATCAGGGAGTCCTAATTCTAAAATGTTTAACAGGTCTTATTTCAAAAATATTTTTACATTTAACTAGAATTATTCTTGTCATGAAAATATGAAAATATGGGGATGAACTGGAAATAAAAGACTTAAATGAAATTTCATACAAAGAATATGCATAATATGGAGTTGATTAAACATAATTGCAAAAAATATGAATTTTTTTGCCCCAAAGTATTAACTTAATCTAATTTTTATATGACATACCATGTTAAAATAGCAACAACAATATCCATAATTAATGGACAGAATAATTGAATCACATGGTTTGAAACTGACAGACGCCTGACAGCCAATGGAAATCACTTTTCACTCTTGGCATTATGAATGTGTATATTGGGCACTGGACTGCATGCCAATATGTTAAATTGAGCAATCATGTTTTTAACCTTAGTCATGAACCGTGTACTGTATGTAAGCAAATCCTTATCACAAGTGATAAAATTGTTACTGGTTACCCCTCCTACACGAGCCTATCACTGATGGAATAATGTTTATAATAACACTGTACATGACGTAATTTACCCCTCATGCATTTATCTGTATTTACTCTAAAACAATTCAAAATAATCAAAAGGTGAATAAGCTCTCTGACGTATGTTTTGTATTTTACAGTAAGGAACTCCAGTGGTTTAGCAAAGGAAAAACAAATGAAAATATGACAAATCTGATTTTGTTATAACATCTATAATTAAAACATAAATATAACAAAATGAGGCAATTGGGCTTCAACAGTCTGGATTAAGAGTTGTGAAATTGGTAAATTAGGAAGTCAGAGATCATAGTTATTAATGTAAAGAAATGTTTATTTTAGTACAGTGCTTTGTTGCAACTGATTAGTTGGAAATTAATTTGTTTATATTTAAAATCCTTAACTGTCAAGTTTCAACTTATCAATGAGGATCTAGTGGGTTAAAAGTAACATAAATATAAACAGCACTGAATGGTTGTACCTCATAGCCCCCTCTGGAGACCACAAATTTACATATATTCTCGGAGAAGGGACAAAATAGGAACTCAGGAAATCCATTAGTTCACTTACAAGGCTTATGATTATACAGCAGGCAGGGATAATTTCATATGAAATGAAGACAGAGTATATTTCCTTTTGGAGGTGAGTTCCATATATGGTAAATTAAGCTAATAGTGATGGTATTAATCAAGAAAAAATGACAGGGTTATAAATTGAATAATAAGATAAGTAAGATCATCAAATTTATTATTTAGGGAAAGAGTAAGGAAGTGAAGGAGAGAAATGTTACACATTCTGCCCATGTACATTTCATCAATCGTGTGCTGCTTGGAAGACATGACAAAGACATTAAGAAATTTTGGGACAGTTGTGACCCTCAGATACATGTATATATATAGAGATTATCCTATATGAGGTTCAGGATATTGGGATTATCCCGAGGCAAATATAATATATTTGCCCGAGGGCCGCAGGTCCCGAGGGAAAATATGTTATATCGGCCAAGGAATAATCCCAATATCCTGAACCGACTATAGGATAATATGTTTATCCCATACCAATCTTGGTCATCTGGTTCACATTGATCAATCGTGGACATATTTTAGAATATTCATGTCCAGTTTTGTTTTCTTGGCCGTGGGTGGATTTTCCTGTTCTCTCAAATATTCCCATATTTATTTTCTCGAATTTTTGATTGATTAAGTGGATGCTCCTTGCTATCAAACAGATCCCGATTGTCTGTGTTTTCTCCATTGTCGTTTACAGTCATTACGCGAACGTTACAAATTATGAACAAATATGCGAGCGACGATTATGACGTAGCGGGCAGATATACTATATCTGCCCGCTCGGAGCGGGACGTAAAGCTTAATCTGCCCGCTGATGAAAATATAAGTTTTTAAAAACTGGCTTTATGTACCTGTAACACGTCCAAGTATGGGATAAATATATATATACATAGAGAGAGAGAGGTTTCTTCTTCATAAAGTCATTACATGTAGTTCAAAATCCATATCTACTTTTTGTATGAAACAGACTATATAATATTATTCTACAAAATATGACTTACAACTTAATGACATTTTTGAATATAAAAATGTTATTGTATAACATAAACACATTTACATCAAAAAATTTAACAATCAAACATGTATACATGTCCATCACAGGGCATTTTCATATTGCTCAGATTTCTCTGACGTTGACCCATGTCAGAGCATGAAAATGAAATTACAATTTGCCTACGTCTAATAGGCCTAGGCTTACAATTTTCATACTTCTTACGTTTCAAAATCTCTATTTTCAATTTTGTTATGAAAATATCATTTCTCACATAAGAACATCATTATAGCACGCTATATCGACCTAACTGAACGTAATAGGAAGCTTTGTTTGGCAAAAATTCCCAGGAGGTGAATACCATTTTCATGAGTGGGATTGGGGACTACGATTTTATTTCAATATCAAAAATATTCCGGGAAGTAGTAGTATTACATGTACAAGGTACACGTAATGTTTTTTTTCACTTGACTAAAACAATGAGTATCTTTTTGCTGTGACTGACTAATATAAAACCCTAACTTGAGATTCAAAACTCACCTATTTTGAATAATTTTATGATGCAG